CCAACAACTGTACCCTTTCCTTTAGAATTAGGAGGGAAGATTTCTTGAACATCATCATCACCCAAATCTCTATACATTTGCTCTTCTTTTTCCCGATAGTAAGAACTATGTGGGTTACACTCATCAAGAATTTCTTGAGTTTTACGCTTCTTTGCAGCAAAGACGTCCAAGTTTTCTTTCATTTTGAATCTAACATCCGGAGGTACTTTACGACATGAATCAACGTCACCTTTCATTCCCGCTAAGTGTTGTTTGACTCGATTGATACCACCTCCGGCGAAAGTCTTTCCACAATACAAGCAAACGAGTTTTTTTTTTGTTTATATTTCTATTATTACTAGCTTCTAATATCTCTTTACAATGACCCCATGCAATATCTATTTTTCCTCTCGCACAATTCTTTAGTGGAGATGAACTATGCGGTGTACTATTATCACCAATGAACTATACAAAGGGAAAAAAACTATACATCATGCTTGTTCACCATTGGAAAATTAATGAACATAGACTACTTAAGCAATTGCTTATTAATATCAAGGAAATGTACATGAAGTTGAGGCAATTTCATAAGACTTGACATACGACATCAATCTCAACAGACATCAATACATCTAAGACTTTTCTATGTATATGTATTAAGGAATTATTAGACTAAAATCAGAAAAGATTATTAATTTCAAGTTAAAAGTTTGTTTTGTTCTAATTTGATCTCCAAATACCTCTACAATACATCTAAGAAGTAATGCAACTATTGGATAAATGTCATGTCATGTAACTCAACAAGAAGCATAATAAATTAATGAAAGCTCAAACTACAACCAGCAATACATCTACTTACTGCTCATAATGAAATAGAATTATAGGAACTCATTCTCACTGGGACCTCGCTTCAAATTAAAACATCACGAAAATTAACATAAAAGTTATAACATCACAGTACATAACATCACACTCATGAACTCCAACTCCATCAAAAGAAAAAGGCAAGAGAAAAATGGAAATGAATCTAACTCTGGCAGATTCATACAACATGTTCTTGCTCATCCATTAAATAATTACCATAGAGATTAATATTCCAAGCATAGTTATCACAAGAAGGAAATAGAACGAAGTGAAGCTCTTGACAATTTACAACGTTATTCTTTGAAAATGTGAACTGGTAGCAAGTGATTCCATAAGAATGTCACGAATGAGTATGATTAATCAAATTAGCCAACTGTAGGTTTGTTATTGTTGAATTTACTTTCCAGTGCACTGGCCACCTGCTTGCTGCCAGACTAGTGACAACACTTACGAGGAGAAAAACATCAGTGTTGCCTTCCAAGTTATCAACAACACTCTCAATATCATAACAGTATACCCATAAAAGCTTCCTTAATGCAAAAATTGGATAACTTGTAATGAAACTAAACCAGAAGCATAATAAATTCATGCAAGCTCAAACTAAACCCAGTGACCATTTTGGAATTAACCACAAAAATCCTATTTCCCATCACCACAACCAACGAACTAAACAAGACAATAATTTCTTATTGCAATATTTTTGAACAAAAAAACAAGTTAACAGAAGAACACATATATGGGGGATTCAGAAATTTAGCTTAATTATAAAATCAATTTTGGTCGAATTTTGTAGAAAAAAAATTTGATAGACTGACCTACTCTTCGAGTTCCATCTCTTAAAACTCGAACTTGGGTATTTGGATTTTTGGGGGTGGTCGAATTGCAAGAGAATGGAGACGGCAACCGAGTCGATTGATTTCGCAAGCGTGAAGACTTCCTAATTTCTGAGAATCGGGGTAGAAATGGGATTGGGGAAACTTTATTGAAGGCAAGGTCTTTGTAATTACTTAACCAGTCGGCTCACGAAAAACTGGTGCACGGGTTTGTTTAAAAATCGGGGTTCAACCAGACTGAAGTCGGGTTACCTATCGAGTTTTAAATTCAATGAGCTCGGACTGGACCAGGGTCCGGTTCAGGGATTTCTGGATTGAACCGGTCGGTCTGGTCTGGGCTTTATAACTATGATTAAAA